AAAAAAAAGTTTTACAGTTTACATTAAGAGGAATCATCCTTATTACATATTAACACTGAAATATAAAGATCTAAATATATATTTATAGCGTGACGCGGCTGGATTTTTAAAAATCACACTTTAAAGGCCCTAAATATACCATTTAAAAACGTAGTTTTGCCCGGAAGAGTCAAATGTGGTGGCCCGGAAGGGGAAATAGTGGTGGCTCATGGCTGCCGGAAGAGAAAAAAGCTAATATGTGGCCCGGAAGGGGAAATAGTGGTGGCTCATGGCCGCCTGCCTTCCCCCGCTCGTTGCAGAGTCCTATTGTGTACACTACATACTGTACAGTGTACATTGTGTACGCTCGAACAGTGTAAATAAGTAATACCTAGCTGAAATTATAGGAACTGTGTGTATCTTGTAATGTTTAGAAATCCTGTACATAGCCAACGCATCCTAAAGGGCCAAAGAGTTTCAAATAATAAAAATAAAAATTATTTGTAGTTTATTTTAAAATTTTTGTAGTTAATTGCAATATTTAGTTAGTTTAAATCCGGATAAAACCAGGAAACTGAGTCTAAAGGGTCGGAACTTTGTATAGTTAATCTCCTCAAAACGCAGAATTGAGTTAACTTTTTTATGATCAGAGGGTTTAACGATTTGGAGTTTCGTCTGCAGGAATTATTAAACATTTAGAAAAAGACAAAATCTGCTTTGGGGCCGTTTGGAGATTTAGAAAGTACGAGTCAGCTGTTTATATAAGTTTCCTCAGTGGGATCCGATTAGAGGCATTGTAGATTAGCGCTGTCCCATACAAAAGTTGCGACCTTTCAGATCAACTTAAAAATGGTCAAAAAATGACTGAATCAGATTAAATTTGATTTCTATGATTGCCTGAAGTAATCCCTCCTCTGGGTTAATTATCAGCAAATTCAGATCTAGCATTCTAAATTAAAAAATGCTTAAAGGGAATGAAAGCGTAATTTTAAGTGATCCTTAATGCAAAGATGGCGATGCCCGATTCATAATGGTACCTGAACAATCGAAAACAGAAATAAACACTTTTAAACAAAAAAAAACGACAATGTCTTCCACATAATTTTAAGGATTCCATTGTGCACCGGGCATTGCTTTCTTTACATGGAGGATCTCTTGAAAGAAGGCTTACAGTCCTTTAAAGTAATGCGCAATAAGTTGACATTGACATTATTTTCCATAATGTTGGAAAGTTTTGTAAGGAAATAGGAGGGGTGGGGTATAAATTAGACAATAAAAATCGTGATAACGATAACAATAATAAAGATTTTAATCCCGTCTTAAAAATTCTTTCTATTTTTTATTTTAAGCAGTCACACCCACCATAATAATTGACCCCATAAAAACTGACAGAGCAAGATAATAAATGTGACCTACGAGAAATATGAAAACATGTTTCTGAAATATGTATTTCTGCCAGGTAGATCTGTTAAACTGTATCTATACTCATCCGTCCATAGCTCTACACAACCAAGATATAACTAGAATGAACTTTTCAAAATAAGGATAGCACCAACGAAATGGCTGGACCCAACAAATTGTATAGAACCTCACACCTTAAGGGAAGGTTTACGTCATGTCGAAATTCAAAAATGTTCTTCCATTTTTTAATTCTAAAAAATTCACCAATTTCAACAGGATAATTCGAAAAATGAACAATGTAGAATTATTCTAAATATATAAAGTAGTAATCTTCTGTTTGTCAGTCCTATCCTAACTTATAAACCCTTTGACCTTTTTGCAACAAATTTTTATTTGGGAATTTGGAAGAATCACGGAAACATTCTTAGTTTGTAAACAAGTGAAGTAATAAACTGCTCCGGAATACATATATATATATAGAGTTTTATTCCAACAGATAATTTGGTTAGACCCATGAAAATTTTTTGTCTTGGAGAAAAAAATATGTATATCTAAACATCTAAAATGTATATTTAAACTGAAAAAAGTTGAAAATACTATATATATATTCTGTATATATCTAATATCTATATATCTATGATTCCTAGATGTGTTGGATGCTGTGAGCTGCCTGTACTCTGCTCTCCTGCACTATTATCTATATCAGACACTTCACGAGCTAGCACACCGTGACTAGAACTCAATACTAGATCATTAAGCAATTTATTAATAGAAAAAAAACGTGCAAAAGTAAAAATTGTCATTCAGGTTTTAATTTTTAAAGGAAAGAAATGAAAATAAAAATGCTTCATCCCAAAAATTTTCCGAAGAAAAACCATGAAAGAAAAAATTGTCCACGTACAACAATCTGACATTTTTTGGGGGAAATGTGTCATTTATTCTCAGAAAATTAGAACCAATAGAAATTTGAAGCCCTGGGGGATTCTATGGTACGATTCGATAGTTTTTAGATAAGCGGGATAAAACCAAAATTATTATTTACCAAAGAATCGGCTTTTTATAAAGGAATATTTGTTTTTCTAGATATTGTATAAACGAATAAAAATTATGCACGACAAATATTTTTTATAATTCTTAGATAAGTTTCTGAAATCACAGCTCTAAAAATGTGAAAAGTTGAGAAAAAAAATTCGAAACAATCTCGACTACATGATATGAAAACCCACTTAAGATACTTTAAAACTTATTTTCAAAATAAATTGTTCCTTTTGTCAGCATTGAGACGAGCGATGTTTTTCCGTGCTGAGAAGATCCAATAGTTCCTGGATAAAACAAGTTTCTATAGAATTAATCAATTAATCAATCAAACACTTGATCAAAAAGTTTTTATAGAATTAATTAATTAATCAATCTAACACTTGATTAAAAAGTTTTTGTAGAATTAATTAATTAATTAATCTAACACTTGATTAAAAAGTTTTTGTATAATTAATCAATTAATTAATCTAACACTTGATTAAAAAGTTTTTGTAGAATTAATCAATTAATCAATCTAACACTGGATTAAAAAGTTAAAGACTACCTGCATTGATATGAATTTTATTGTCTCGTTTAAATATTTCTTTCTCCTGAAACAAAACTTAAAATAATAACTTCATTTGATCGAATAAATATTAATTACTGTAAATGATTCCTGATCATTAATGGTTTTAAAATAATATTCAGAAAGACCACCTGACGTGCAAGGGTTGAGGAGAAGTGTCTGAGACCTTGCAATTTAACTCCAGCATTTTTATACATCTGAAATAAACGGTTGATCTGCAATACTGCGTTCTCAGGCGATCAAAATTCAACAATGAAAAAAAATTATTAAAGAATAAAAAAGCACTGTGGAAACAACTTTTCGACATAAAAAATATTTTTTTAAGTTGTGCAATTGAGAAATAATGGACAAAATAGAAGTTCCATTGTTACGAGTCCAAATATTGCTTTTACAAGCTAGAAAAGAAATAAGTGTTCCAGAAATATTGTGCAAAATAGGTAAAAAGAGGGGTTCTATTGAGGACCAATTTTCATTAATCAATTATGCCTATACTATTAATTCCCAATTTTTGTTAAAAACAATTCGAACTTAAAAAAAATAAATCCTGAAAGAAAACGTCGAAAAAAAACATTTTTGCTTTGCTAAGTGATTTAACTTTAACAGGTTTTTCGAACCATTACACACAAAAATATAAACAAATATCAAACAGTTAGTAGCCCCGGATTTCCTACAAAACGCGGGAAATGAATTTTTGTTTAAAATGTCGGATTTAAGAATTAGCTTCCATTAAATGTTGATACAAGATAAAAGGTTTAAGGATTTTGATTGCATAAACTGGCAACACTTCTGGGTTGGATTCAATGAGGGTGTCTTCTTTTAAAAATGTTGGTTCGCTCTTGGCATCCATGGCTCATCTACGTTTCCTAGAAAGAATATATATGAACCGAATTCCAGAACAATTAATTCTATCTAAATCTGCCAAAACTTGAGTTTTTTTACGCTTTTCAAACTTGAGTAAATCCACGAGATGGAAGAATGAAAAATTCAAGATGTTCCAAGGCAGAAGAAGATATCTGAATTTATGAATTGAAACCTTGACCGATCCCGCGAAGATGAGCGTGAGCTGGATGATGAAGAACGGGATTTACGAGAACTCTTATTCTTCTTCTTCTTCTTGTCTCGGCTCCGGGATCTGGAAGCAGCAGAGGTAAAGAGTACATGGCGATAACTAACATTGATCAAATAAGCCGATTGTGTAAATTATACTTTTCACGCACCTAATCCTGTTTCTGACATACTAACCGACATTGTTGCTGAATTGAAATTAAATCTCAAGGTTTTGTGAAACTCAAATTAACAAAAAAAAACATTTTTGTTTTGTTCTTTCAAAAGATAAAAAGTTGGCATTCCGCCGCAACGATTTTTTTAGAACCCGCCCCTCCCCCTCCCCGCCATCCCTGGAGAACGGCCTCGGTTACCTAGACCTACTACTACTGCTACTGCTGCTACTGGAGGATGATGAAGATCTAGAGGATCTTGATTTCTTCCTCCCCCGGCTTCTAGACCTCGATCCACTTAATATATTTATTATATATAAATCATTTTCTATCAAATAAAACCAAATCCCCGTAGTTCTAATAAACTTAGATAATATTTGATCTTAAAGGTTTTTTAAAGGGACAGTGTAGAGTGTAGACGGAATTACAAGTGAACCTTTAATTATCCAATCAAATCCAGTTTAAATCTGAAAAGGGAACCTAATGTGGAACCCCCAGACTGTCTTCAGGTCTGTTACAAAGTAAGTGGCATGTCCGCTTCACAACCGTTCCTTTTAGTTTGATCCAGTGTTTGCTCAATAATGTAAAACAGTTGAAGGTTATAATTTAACATCTATTAAGCTGGAAAAACGACGATATCTTTAACTGTAATTGACAAAATATCAGTTTAAAGGATGCCGTTGTGAATCAGACAGAGCCTTCCTTAATTCAGGGCTGGCATTAAATAAAAAACTATAACTATAAAGTTAATCTATTGCTTAAATAGACTAATTAAATTATTATGACTTAGTAGATTTTAGTAGATTTTAGAAGATTTTAGTTTTGAGTAGATTTCAACTCTACACACTACTCTTTAGAATGAAATTGGAAAAAAAACATTTTCCAACCCTGGCAAGGTAACTTGATTAATGAAGAAAAACACCAGATACAAAATCTTACCTGAAGAAATGCTAAATACAAAAAAATTAAAAGAAATTAAAATGATTTTTTAAATTTTTTTTGGTCAGTTAATTCATATTAAAAAATTACGACTGAATTGTAAAGAATTATATTGAAGTTTGTTTAAGAAAATGAAGTTAATTTAAGAAAAAATGCAATGTAAGAAATGTTAAAGAACTTGATGAGAATTCCTGATTCCCAGGATAATATACTACAATTAACCTCGAGGAACTAGAATCTCTCCTTTTCTTCTTCTTCTTATCCTTAGACCTAGATCTAGACCTAGACCTAGACCTAGACCTGGATCTTGAGCTAGATCCTGATCTAGATCTTTTCTTCTTCTTCTTCTCGTCCTTCTCCTCTTTCTCTTCCTTCCCATTCTTATCCTTCTCCTCTGCATCTTCGTTCCCCCATAGATCGTACTGATCAACATCAAAGTTTTTAAAGTGAGATATGTGGAGGAAACAATACCAACGGTATAAATTGAGTAAGAAACGAAAAAAAACTGCTCAAAGATTTAATTATCTAATATTACATAAAATGGGGTGGGGGGAAGGTTTCTTGTAATAGTACCAAAAAACAACTTGTACTTTTTCCATCCTTCCCCGCTTCCTCTAATAAACCCAAAAACGCATAACACTCCTGTTTAACAATGTCCCTCAGTGAATATATTGCAAGAAATAGAGTTGAACAAAGTCCCTCAGTGTATATACTCCAAGAAATAAAGTTTAACAATGTCCTTCAGTGAATATTGCCCAAGAAATAGAGTTTAACAATACCCTTCACTGAATATACTCCAAGAAATAGAGTTTAACAATGTCCCTCAGTGAATATTGCCCAAGAAATAGAGTTGAACAAAGTCCCTCAGTGAATATACTCCAAGAAATAGAGTTTAACAATGTCCTTCAGTGAATATTGCCCAAGAAATAGAGTTTAACAATGCCCTTCACTGAATATACTCCAAGAAATAGAGTTTAACAATGTCCCTCAGTGAATATTGCCAAAGAAATAGAGTTTAACAATGTCCTTCAGTGAAAATACTCCAAGAAATAGAGGATAACAATGTCCTTCAGTGAAAATACTCCAAGAAATAGAGTTTAACAATGTCCTTTAGTGAATATACTCCAAGAAATAGAGTTTAACAATGTCCCTCAGTGAATATTGCCAAAGAAATAGAGTTTAACAATGTCCTTCAGTGAAAATACTCCAAGAAATAGAGGATAACAATGTCCTTCAGTGAAAATACTCCAAGAAATAGAGTTTAACAATGTCCTTTAGTGAATATACTCCAAGAAATAGAACAATGTCCCTCAGTGAATATACTCCAAGAAATAGAGTTTAACAATGCCCTTTAGTGAATATACTCCAAGAAATAGAGTGAGTTCATTAAATGCACGAAGGCGTTTTTATCAAAAATGGCGGGAATAAGAATTAAATAAAAACTTTTAAAATATCTTCCTTGGATAAATCTCCTTCATCGTCATCTTCTTCTTCTTCCTCCTCTTCCTCCTCATCCTCTGCGTCATCTACTACCTCCTAGAGATAGTAATTATTATTCATTTTCATGGAAGATAACTTTTCCTTCGCATGAAGAGCAGTAAGAACCTTCCGGAAAAAATATAGACCAGGGGTGTACATAGTTTCCTGTGCATTCATTACCCCAGCCCCCTTATTTAAAACTTATCCCCCCCCTTACGTTCATGCTACATCTTTTTAAAACATTTTATTCGCTAAATTGGGGGAATCAATAAATTGTTGAGTAAAGTATGAAATAACTTGCCATTTAATGTCCAATTTTTTCCCCCAGGGAGGATGTAATTCTTAAAATAAACAACCCTGATGGGTCATTCCATGTCAAGTCAACTACTTATAGACGGTGTGAAATTTTGCATACAACTTGGGATATGAAATTTAGAATATGACCCTGATATAAACTATTGAAGTTAATATTTTTGAAAAAATGACGAAGGGAGATAATAATGAGCACACAATAAAGACATCACATTTTGGAGGTTTGAGTAGCTGTGATGAAACTACTATAATACAGTTTAACCCAGCATGAACTTTGAAGATATCGAAAGAATTTTAAAATGTTTTTTCTAACCCTACTGATAATGGAATGCTGCAGATATTATTTAATTGAATAATTGTAAGGAGCTCTATAAAACTGTTTCATACCTATTTCTTTATTTTTACAATTACAGAGATTTAGGCATAATATCCTTGTTTTATGATTCTTAAAGGTAAACGCCATTGAAAAATTGTCAAGACGACATTTTATCCAATTCTTTCGAAGTAAAAATTGGACAACTTTAACTGTTATAATTCTTCCAAGGAAACAAACTGACATGACAACCGACTGCATGAGAAATCAAAGTTTAGATCTAATTGAACGAACCCTTGGTAAAAGTTAATCTCATTAGCACTTGAGAAATAGCTGAAGTGGTCGTACCTAGCTAAACTACTTCTCAATATTGATTAATTCCTTTTAAAAAAAAAAATCAATTGAATTTTGATCTTACTTCCTCGACCCTTGGAGTCGGTTGCTGAGTTTGAACTGAATTTTGCTTCTTTTTCTTCTTTTTCCGTCCATATTCATCAAACTCATCATCAGATTCAACAAATGGTTTATACTCAACCGTTCCTCGCTCATTAAACCCTCCCCCTAGACCTAAATAAACCATTTATTTGCTAAGAAACTCATCAGAAAGAAAGAGTAAAATAGGTTGATATCTAGACATTATCAATAGATCGGAACCATTACTAGATAAATCTTAAACCTAATAAAAATCATTTTAGCCTTTATATATTGACAGGAAACGGTTCAAATAAATTTCTCTAGAATATCAGGTTAAACTTGATAAAGGCACCGTTTATGAATTTCTAAAGAAAATAAATAAAAAAGGAATATTTTGATTTTGACCCAATCATCTTCAGAACATTTATCCTTGATTCTTTTAATATATTTGCGACTAATACGAAAATGAAGTAAAATTAGAGCGGACAAAATATTATACAAATATACAAACAATGTGTAAGGACCAAAGAGACTGTAAACATAATTTCAAGTTACCCTCCATGCAAAGATGACAATGTCCGATTTATAACGTTACCCTTCAAATCTTTGTCTGCTCAAGAATGAAATAATCGAGATAAATCACATTTCGATTCAGGAAAACGACAGTACCTTCCACATCTTTGATCAGATAAAGGTTTCAAGGGTACCGTTGTAAATCGGACATTGCCTTACGCTTGCAGTTTCTTCAAATTGGAAGAGGTTTGTTTGTTATATTTCCAAACTATTTTGACGAGAAAGATAAATGTAAACAAAAACCTGTTCGTTCTTCTACTTCGGTAAACTTGGGACCGTTGCAAAGGTTGCATGTTGACCGGCGGGCCCAGTTCACGTTGCCGCACTAAAATATGTAAAAAATAAAAAATTAATCAATCAATCACTCTTCACTTCCAGTCAATCTATCAATCAGTTAATGAATAAATCATTTAACCAAACACCCATCAATCAATCAATCAACCAACCAGTCAGCCAATTAATAAATCAATTGATCAACAATAATAATAGCACACGAGGATTACTAAAAAATTTAAATATTATGAAATGTCATAAACAAATCTGAACATTATAACTTCTAAAACTGAAAATAATCAATCAATCAATCAATCGACCTACCTTAGAGCACTGCCAGTCCTCTGCACTGAACAACCCTTTACTTTTTTCGGCAAGGTTTGATCCTATCTCGATTCCCTAAGAAATTTAAAGAATTGTTACACGAAAAAGAATTCCCAATATTATTGATTTATTACGATAGTATTATTTTTCGTAATTTTCCTAGTAAAACTAGAAAATAACTCATCCAGTTTAAGATATTTAAGTAATCTATTAAATGATGCTCTTAGTTCAACTAATTTATACTTTGCTTGTCTGTCGAGCGGAAGAAGGCAGGCGGCCATTAGCCACCACTGTTTCCCCTTCCGTGCCGCATATTAGCTTTTTTCTCTTCCGGCAGCTATGAGCCACCACTATTTCCTCTTCTGTACCACCACATTTGACTCTTCCGGGCAAAACTACTTTTTTAAATGGTATTTAGGGCCTTTAAAGTGTGATTTTAAAAAATCCAGCCGCGTCACGCAAAAAAGCACAACTCAAACCATTTTTTCAATTCTACTTAAGATTAATATTTTGTGTGTTGAATTCTTAAACTGTTTTACAATGAAATTTTTGACAAATTTGACTTGAGTATTGCATCTTGAAATATCGCAAAGTCTAATGATTATTGGTTAATGAGTGATTTTAAGATGGATTTAGTATAATGAGTCAGTAATTAAAGAAGGAAGAGAAAAAAAGCTAATATGTGGCACGGAAGGGAAAATAGTAGTGGCTCATGGCTGCCTGCCTTCCCCTGCTCGTCTGTCTGTCCGTTTGTATCCAATAAACCTCAAAACCTATCGGGCCCAACATTTTTAAGGCGACTCACATGATCCCAGGAAAGGTTTATGGATGCTCAAAATCACATTGTTGATATATACTCCAGCTAGATGTCATTAAAAAAGAATTAACCTGTTTTTTAGTTTTCTTATCTTTTCTCTCTGTCCCACATCTATTACAGTTATCTCTCCGAGCAAAATTAAGGTTTCCACATCTTAACAAATCAGAAAAGGTTTTAAATTTCTATATTTTGTTGCAAAAACAATTGGTTCTAACAAAAAAAGGGTGGTGTATAAGTTTAATTTGAAGGGGTATGGGAAGGGATATAGGGAGCCTTTCTTTTATTTTGTAATCACCCCCTTCCTAAAATCTTCCATTAATTCTTTATATATAGAAGAATTTCTGTTTGTTTATTGATTCGCCATGATATACAGTTACAAAGTTAAAATTCAAATGTATACTTCCATTTTTATCTCAATATAAGATAACCCCCCCCCCATGTGAATTTTTAAAGTAAATTTGAATTTTTAGGTAGAAACTCAAGAAACTGAAGGTATCAAAAGTAAAAAACAACGTCGCCATAGCATCAATTATCATTTCCTCACAGGGGAGGTAGTGGTTATCCCTTGAATATATCAAATGTAGCAGCTGCTACATTTTAAATACCCAAACTGCAGCACTCGAACCCCTAGCCTCTCCAAGCCGCAGCGCTCGGCTCGGAAATTGTCATAGCCTAACCTAACCCTGATTGATAAACACGTTCGAACTATTTTTGTGTTAATTTGAAACACTTTTGTTTTAGAACTTTCTTAAAAAATTTTTGGTTCATTTGAAATGTTTTATGTTCATTTAAACTATTTTCATGTTAACATTTTATATATATTTTTGTTCAAACTAATCTTTGATGCTCGGGCATGATCATGCCAATCTCATGAACTACAGGATATAACGTCATGTCACTAGATCAAATGAGCATATAGTTCAAACGACCTATATTTTAAATAAACAATAGTTCAAACGGCAGTAGTTCAAACCAATTTAGTGTTGGGTCTGTCCTAGTGAACGATTTTTGGACCCC